GTGGACCTGGCATTTATTCTTCAAGAATGTCCCACGTAGGTAGCCGTACAGAGAGACGGTTCTGTCACATTTGGGATTTAACCTAATAGCCTCAGGATCAGTAAGATCTTCCATACTGTCCAGGAAAAAGAAAAAAAAGCAATCAAATAATTGTTGGTAATAATAAAAGGCAACATACGCTTAGAAAAATCATAAATAAAAGAAACACTTAAGTTCACTCACCGGTCAGCCACCACATATGGGTGAGAGGTCCGCCAAACAAGAGGTCTGAACTTCATGACTGAGATGAACCGCCCAAGATTCTTAACTTCCTGTGTCTGGTACTCTCCATACACCATTCCAGACAGGTAAAAGAGCTTGGCACCCTGTAAGACTTTTATGTTTAGACACTAGACAGTCCTCTTTAGTGATATGTCAGTTATAGATCAGGTTGTTGACATACCTGGTAAACTTCAGTCCAGAAGCGGTGTTTGAGGCGTTTTTTTGTTTTGCTGAGTGTCTTGTTGTTCTTAAAAGTGTCCAGATGTGTGAGGACCCCCATGACTCGAGGGAAGCCATGAACTTGGCAAATGTTCAGGAACTCAAATGTCTCCATTTCAAAGCCAAAACTTGCATCTATCAGCATCAGAACCTAATAAAGTCAAAATGTCAATACTGCCTTACTGGAAAACATAACATTAAAACATAAGTAATAACACGGCGATGAATCGCCTGCGATTATGAACGCGATATTGCGTAGCTTGTCAGTGAACTACGGCTATGTGTAGTAAATGTTGCTCCATTTGAAAGCAGGTGATGGAGATTTACTACTAATCACAGATGAGATGTGCATAACAATCGCATTCGATTTTTTGCACAGCCCTATGAACTGCTGCATGAGTTTAATCCTGGTCGGGTTTGCAGATGATGCAGGCCTGCACTCACCAAATCAGCAACCTTTGCCAAATCAATCATGCTGTTGATGTCATTGTTGCACTCAATCAAGGTCAGGCGGCGTTTCTTTCCTACAAACATTAACAAGAAAGAAGTCACCTCACAGCATACCGATTCTATATACATCAGTATATAATCAGTTTTAATCTCACCATAAATGTGACATTCGATTTTTGATATGTGACACCTAAGTAATAACAGGTGTAAATGGGAACTATGAGTCATAAATTGAATTAAATTCAAGTTTATTTGTATAGCGCTTTTCACGATACAAATCATTGCAAAGCAACTTTACAGCAAAAATACATAAATCTTGTATTATGTATTACAAAACTAACCAGAAACTATGGTCACAGGTCCACAGATGTCAGAAAGCTTCTGCCTTGTATAGTTTTTGATCAGGCATCGAATGAGGGTGCTTTTGCCCACTTTTGGAGGTCCTATCACCACTACAACAACAGGTGGAGGCTCCAGAGGGGTCCGGTCTACCAGAGGAATGTGATGTTTCTTTGTTTTAATATCCTGAGTCCTACAAAACAATATTAAAAGAGATTAAAAAGCAATGAAATAACACCTAATTCTCCTAGCAAAAGTGCAAAGTGAAAGTGCATGACAACAGAGATAAACACAGGACTTCTTGTGTTAAATTAACATAAGAAAGAACAGTGGATAATGGGTAATGTTAAAGGGGTCATATGATGCTATTTTAAAGATCATTATTTGGTGTATTTGGCGTAACAGAATATGTTGACATGCTTTAATGTTCAAAAAACACATTATTTTTCAAATACTGTACATTATTGTAGGTCCTCTATGCCCCGCCTCTCTCAAACGCTTCGTTTTCAACAAAGCCCCTTCCTTTGACAAGCGCAGTCTGCTCTGATTGGCCAGCTGACCCAGTTGACTCATGCAGCTGTAAGGTTTTTTTTTTCTTTTGTTTTTATTCGCGAACTTTACAACACGCATTACATTACGTATTACATGGCACACTCGTTTAAGCGTATTTGGCGCCACCTAGTGTTGTGGGTGTATTATTGACATGTCAAAGTCTAGACCCTGAATATAAGACTACCGCGTTTTTTCAGATGTATTTCCAAGAAAAAAACATCGTCTTATATTCGGGTCAATACGGTACTACCCTATAAGTTCATTTGTCTGGGCATTGATTCTTAGTGCTAAATGTTATGTTCATAGACATGACTGGTGCCTCACAGTCACGACTCATGCAGCTGTAAGGTTTTCTTATTCTTTTGTTTTTATTCGCGAACTTTACAACACGCATCACATTACGTATTTCATGGCACACTCGTTTTATACGTATTTGGCGCCGCCTAGTGTTGTGGGTGTATTATTGACATGTCAAAGTCTAGACCCTGAATATAAGACGACCGCGTTTTTTCAGATGTATTTCCAAGAAAAAAACATCGTCTTATATTCGGGACAATATGGTAAATTAAATGTATGTTTTTTGTTCGGCAGCCATTTCTGCTAGTCATTTGATTGTGTGTGTGTGTGTGTGCAAGAGTGTGATTATAAACTGTGGAAGTGGGGTATTGAGTAGATGAGTTTTGCTGTTCAGTGTGATATGTTTAATATCCTAAAGAACCTCTGTTGTCCATTTGTTAGCAATTGTTTTTTTCAAGACGAGTAAAACCTTTTTAAAAAAATCAGAATGCTGATATTTTATGCTGTAGAATAAAACGGGACAATAGCTTAAGCTTGTGTTAACCACAGACCTTTTTCAGGTATTTTATCAAAAGCCTATTCAAAAAAACCTATTGACTTCAGGACGATGGAAACGGAAGTGCAAAAAAGCTTTCTTGTTTCTGGGTTTTGACCTACAAAAATCATCATCATCATCATCCCTGTAACGCATGGGTTGCATCAGACTGTCCATGAACTCTTTCATTAGTCCAGCTGTAAATGATTCCTCTCTTTTCCACTTTTCTGCAGGATCCCAGAAGCAAGCACAAGTTCAAGATCCACAGCTACGGCAGTCCCACCTTCTGCGACCACTGCGGATCGCTGCTGTACGGCCTCATCCACCAGGGGATGAAATGCGACAGTGAGTGTGAACCTCTCATCATGCCTTGAAATCGCATCATATGACCCCTTTAAATGAAGCTGCCTGAGCACTGACCTATGGAAGGTTTTTGCCATGCGCACAGCTGACTGGACGCTAAACGCTCGTGGGTTCCTCTTGCGCTCATCCTGCACTTGTTCAGTGCCCTGCTCCTTCTTTCTGTTCTTCTTCTGTGCTTTGGGTCCACTGTGCTTGTGCTGGTGCCGCTTCTGTTCTTTCTTCTCCATCTTTGCTTTTCTGGGTCCAGAGATTAAGACAGATTATCAACAATAATCTTTGACTTCACAGAGTGATGTAGGTGTCTCCTATTCAGTTATCTAACAGACTCAACCCTGCTTAACTTTAGTAGAAAACCAGGCAAGAGCCACAAAGTGACAGCTACTGTTTTTACATTGTATATTCTTTGGAATCAAAGTCTGAAACAATAGCCACTGAACATTCAGGATCAGAATGACATTACTTCTTACGCTTTTCCAATAACACAACAGTGTGAATATTAAACTAACTGAACTGAATAAATCACACGTTTGTATCATGTGTATCTACAGTCAAACTCACTGGTAACCTTTAAACATCTATCAATTATAAGGAAACATGCATGAACAACGAACAAAATACTTACAACGTTCAACTGTTAAACTTAATGGTTATTTAATATAATATCATCCGTTTTGCGTTGGAATAATTCAGTAATAAATACGTCTTTGTCTTTAAATGACCATCAATGCAGTCGCTGTGCATTTTAGGCATGAAAATAGAGGCTCACCTTTTGTGGTTACAGTTTATTTAAATCCGATGCATATATGATCTCAGAATTCAAGATGTTAATTCATGTTATCATTTCACGGGCGTACAACGTGACTCTATCCACTGTTTTACACGTGTGTTACACTTCCGGTTAGGGTCGGAAGTGGTTACGTTCGACAAAGTGTGTCGTGTCAAACAGAACCCTAGAATGAACGATCCGTGTCACACGTTCCGCATACATGAGCCTAATCTGTTTTCAACCCTGGATTGTGATAGCCTACCTTGATATTTGTTTTATCGTGCTAGTAAAACCGAAAGATAAAGCGAGTTGTTTAGCAACAGAAAACCAATCATAAACTCGTTATGCATGCATGCGTTCTTTGAGGTAAAATGGCAATGTCGAATAGTGGCAGGAAATGTTTTAAATGGAGTCAAGAGTTTTGAATAATTTCAATCTTTTCAGTGAATGACCGATTTTTTTAATGAATTGATCTTTTGAGCGAATCAAAGGCTCACTTGTGTAATTTTTTTAACCTACAGAGAGAGAATCAGTGAATAAATCCGACTCACTGAAAATGATTCTCTCTTTTTTTTTTTTGGTGAAGAGAGTCACTGATTTGAATCAAAATCCTCACTATAAACTGTTAAGGGCATAGTAATCACCCTGTATGTTGTCAATGTTATATGTCTGGGCATGTTAGGCAACTGTTAATGTTATTCAACTCTAGAGTTGACTTTCAACTCTCAATGCCTCAGATTCAATTCTTATTTTATGTAATATCTGAAAATAATAAATACATAATTAAAATTAAATGTATAAGCAATTCAGACCACACAAATTCACACATTTTAACATTTTATTTAAAATAAATATGCATTATAATACAAAGTGACAGTATAGGTTGTGTGAGCATAATTTAATGTAGAATAAATATCCCAACTGCACTGTAATACCTTAAAAGAGCATAAAGAATAAATAAGTTCTAAATTACTTTCTGGTGCAACCATAGGCTACTGTTTCCAATCTACTCCTTGGTAGAAAATATAAATAAATAAAGTCCATTAAATAAATAAAAAGTCTGATCATCTAATGGACATCTGATATTGCTCTGTAACCGGCACTTGCACAATACCATGCTTCCTATATAATACAGTCCAAAAGAAAGAATCCTACCACTCAAGTTAAACCCAATGTTAAAACAGTATTTGTCTCCTTAGGTTATGGATGTTTGCAAGATTACTGTAGATCCATCTGGCCATTGAAGTTCCACCAGGCTGGCTCCATTTCCCCAAGGACATCCTCCAGAGAGGACAGATCTGGAAGCGGGGCCACAGGCTGCTCCTCAGCGAGCCTGTCCCATGGGCTTCCACAGTCGGTGTATGGCACAGAGGGAGAGCAGTTCTCCAGTCCCATGTCCCAAAATGCAGAATCAGAAGAGGCAGGAGAGGTGGGAAGTGACTCCAGGCCACTAACACACCCAACTTTGGCACTTCCATGAGGGTAAGGAGGTGGTGGGTAGAGAAAGAAATGGCTCTCATCCTTGTAGGAATTCCCAAAACTCTGTGCTGGTCGATTCCATGTAGACTCAGGAGAGGACTGTGTGCTTCCTCCAGAGCTCCAGCTGTCTGCCACAGCTTGCAGATCAGAGGGAAGGGAGGGTAAACAAGAGCTGGTTCCCATCAGCCTGTTTTGCCGTGGCTTAATGGCAGGTGTGCTGTGGTCAGTTGGAGGAAAGGTAAAGTGCTGTGGAGATGTTTGAGCCATCTGAATGTTGAAGGAAGCCTCTTGAATGCCTCTCTGTTGGCCATTGGACCCAACACTAGCCATGTGAGAGGGTAGAAAAGGGCTGGTCAGAGGAGAGGTACTATCCAGCTGTGGTGAGGTCCAAGTGGCTCTGTTCTTTAGGGTTCTGGCCCTCTTGTTCTGAAACCACACCTGGAAAAACAAAACACAGTTATGTTAGCATGTTGATGGATTAACATTTTTATACTTTTTGAAATGTATGAAAACAGTTTGTTTTCTATATTGATGTTGACATACCTGAATACGTGACTCTGGAAGGCCTGTGGCTTGAGATAGACTTTCCCTGACACTAATACCAGGGTAAGGATCCACGCTGAAAGCCATTTTTAGAAGTTCCAAGTGCTCTTTGGTGAAACTGGTTCTCTTCCTGCGGCCTGCAATCTTACTGGCCTGTGAGTTTCCATCTTGAGCTGTAAGAGTAAAAATATATGTCATTATTAATTGTCTTGACATGTCTGCAAATGCATCAAGTGGATATAAATAATATAAATATTCCAGAAAATAAATTCTTAAAATATCTTGAAAATATCTAAATATTTATTATAATATTTCACAAAAGTTACTTAAAATAAATACTTTTTAAAAAAAGGAATTCTTACCAATGCAGTCAGTCCACATGTCTTTCAAGGATTTTTGATTGTAGAATGTAAGAATTAATAGGTCAAGCTGAATCCTTTGTTACTTGCTCCTTGTGCTCTGACCAACAACTGAAGGTTGCCACTATTTATACCTGCCCACCTAAAGGTCCAGAGAGGGGCTGTCCTAACACTTGTACACCTAAAAGCTTAAGTGGGCTCTGTGATCTCTAATGGGCAAGTCACACCTTCATTCCTGCCACACCTTAATTTACACTTCATTCATCCATCATCTTTTATTGTTCATCACAAAGACTTGATCAATTTGCAAACATGTCAAGACAATTTGTAAGATTGTTTATAGAAATATGGCTTATGATTTAAGTAGCCTATTACGGCTTACTAATTTTGAAAAAGAAATACATTTGCAGGTACATGACCATATCTTTATTAGGATATTACATAGCCTACATTACTTTACATTACATTTATGTATGTATGTATGTATGTATGTATTTATTTATGCATGTATTTATTTATTTTTTAATTTAAATTAATTTAAAGTCTGTAAATACATTTTACATTCAGCTTGCAAAGTTTATGATGAATTTTATTTAATTTAAAATATAAAAAATGTAATTATATTTAAACAATAATAAAATATGTACATAGCAAATATTTTACTCTCTCTACCTATATTATTATGTGTATGTATTATTATCAATAACAATATACATTATAATTATGTATTGTTACAGGATATATATTTAAAGAAAAAATAATATACAAATCCTATGTATTTTTTTATTTTATGTGTATATACTAATTTCAAGTATTGAAGTTTTGTATAACCACAATGTTGTTTTAATAAAAACGTTTTAAAACTGTATTTCAAAAGAGGAATTGTTACAATACTTAATATTAGTATAGATATTTATGATCATGCCACACTGTTTCTCATCACGGCTTGTATTAAACGGTGTGATCCTAAAAGTAGCTAGTTTAGGACTAAAACGTTGTTTTGTGTTGGAACATTCTCTCAACCATAAAAAGGTACATATACTGTATATTCTTAATATCATACAAGAAATAGAAAGATTTAAATTTCTACATTTTGTGATAATCAAAGTAAAAGATTGTTTTTGTTGTAGGTGTGAATAGGTTTGATGAATGTGTTTACACCTCTTTGATTGATATGCCCCAATCAATTTATACAATTGTTCCTTTGGAGCCAACTCATACACTTTCACAGCTGTAAATACTCCTTTATTAATATGAATAGGCCCCAGTCACAGATGCCTATAGGTCTATATGATTTTTACCCTGACAATTATAATAATATTAATGTGATTATATTTCCCCATACCATATTTCCCAAGTTATTAGAACATGAAAACACTTTTTTAAAAAAAAATTTTTTTTTTAAAAAGCAGCACTGGAATGCTCTTATTTAAAGAATTAATACAACAATAAAGCTTAACTCTTCTATTAAATCTTTTAAATTATGGCTAATGTACAGATAAATCTGCTGCTCTAAGGCCAAAGTCAGTATTGTTGGTACAGAATGGGCTAAGCTAACTTAGGGGCAATATTTGTCTTTTGGAATTGATTTTCATTTCTACCTTAATATGGACATATGATTTCTAACAAATAACACATAATGTGTTCCATATACTTGAATTGAGTTAACTGTACTAAACATAACATGCATTTAGTAGTGACAAATGAATATTATGAACAAAATATTATGAAATATATCAAATCCCTAACATTTTCAGTAGGCGTGTCATTTTTGTCACATTTGGTCACCTTACTGCCCCAAGGCCTGGTGAATTTCTGATCTTGGTCATCTTTCCTCATTCTGGATCTTAGCGTAATTATGGCCTACAATGACAAATAATAGTAATATCTCAAATGTGAAATTTGAAGTCAGTGGGCTCTATGATCTCTAATGGGCAAGTCACACATGCCACACCTTAATTTACACTTCATTCATTCATCCTCTTTTGTTGTTCATAACAAACACTTGATCAATTTGCAAACACGTCAAGACAATTTGCAAGACTGTTGACAGTAATATTATTTACTTACTACTTTTACAATAAATATATTTGGAGGTATGTTCCCATATTTTTCAGTATATTACATACATTTTAAATGTCTTTTTTGTAAATAAATCACTCTAATTATACATACCTTACAAAGTTTATGATAACTTTTATTGAATTTAGAATATTAAAAATACAATAATACAGCAACAATACAGTTATAGCAAGCAGGCACTTCACTCTATTTCTGAAATATATCAAAATAGCATTTTAAATATTTAAGGCAGTTTTGCCATTTTGGTGACCTTCTGGGCTGGTGAATTTCTGACTCTGGTCATCATTTATTCTAGATCTGATGTTAATAAATATGCATTTTGGAGTTGTAAGTTGAAATGCAAGGACAATGTTTGTCTGATTTGTGAACTCACATCATTGTGATAGTTATTTAGCTACTTACATTAAAAAATATATATATATATTGCGGAACAAAATATAAAAGTCTTATGAATAGATATATTTGCATTAACATTCATTGTAGTAGCCTATTCATTTATTTATTTCGGAAATAATTACCCTGAGTTGTGAGCATTTGTTACATAAATCTTTTAGATAACTATCATGGAAAAGTATCTAATAAAATGTGATAAAGCCTTAAGTTGCAATAATGAAAATGTTTGTCAGATTTTTACGGTTCTCGTCATTGCAAATTCATGTTTGTTTGTGTAAAATTGTATATTAGTGTGTAAATTAGTCATGTTATGGAATAAAATGTAAAGGCATTTAAATGTAATTGTTTTAACATTTATTGTAATAATATGTAATTTTTAGTCACTTATTTGTTCTGGAAATTAGAGTTGTGTGCATTTGTTACATAAATCTGCTAGAAATATAGAAGAGTATTATTGTCATCATCATCACCATCACAATAGTACAAAAATCCATTCATCTATTTGCAGCAGGTCAGTGCGCCGGTATTTATAACCCAGTAAACATTAGTTTAACTATCCATCGTTAGAGTAATGATATTGTAGGTCAAGATGGCGCGCCATGATCTAGAGTGAGTCATGGCGTCCCTAGAGTCCACAAAACAGCAGTATGCATGGCCACTTTTAAGAATGGGTTTAACTGCTTCTAATACAGAGCGAGAACTGCATGGACTTTAATTTAAACAAGGCGTTCAATTCATGAATTAATCAAAGGAGTATTGTATTCCATTTAAACACTCTGTTTCGAGGTTTAAAGCGAAATATTTGTTGGTAAAGACGACCTAATGAGTCTTTCAGGTAATCCATATTCATCCGCTCTGAGTTCCTGCCTCACGCGCAGTGAAGGGAGCGGAACCCGGATGGAACTGTCATGGCTGCCGTCAACGACCTGCCAGTCTAAAGAGAAAAAAGAGGTAAATTTCTCCAAACTGCGCTTATTTAAAACAACAGTATTAATTAAGACATAATGGCATTTAATTCAACTATAACGGTCACTTTTTTGAGTAGTGTGCTCCTGCGTTGAGTTCTTTGTTTTTTAATCGTTTGATTACATCCAGCGTGGGTGGGGGCGACTTGCTTTATTTTTGTTGATGTGGATAAATAACATGGCTTATGAGTGAATGACATTTGTAGACGTGATCGCTAGCGGGATAGTCGGAGTGCATCCAGAAATGCACGGCCATAATTATCGTGTTGAGTCGATTGACAAGGCACTTCCTTTAGTTGAATGTGCATTGTGTCCGCGTTGCACAAAGTTGGTGAATGTCAACTTCATTTAAATAACCGACTTTAATCATTGGCAGATGGACGACTTAGTTGTTGAGTGTTGCTAGTTTGTTTGATGTTTTTAAAAAGTTTGTTCATCTGTGATTGTGAAGTAATGAATTCCTGGTAAAAAGTTTGGCTAATATAGCAGTTGAGGAAAATGAGTAGAGAGAAATCAACGCTGTCTGTGACAAAAATGTGCTTGAGATTACGGTAATACTGATGAAGTTCACACTTCAACATATAAAATGATGTGCCATGCATCACTTCACATCTTAGTTGTTACATCCACTTTCTAACTGCACTGAAAATCGAAGTGTTTTCCTTCATTCTAAATTATAAAACGGTTTATGGAAATCATTATACAAATATTAATCCATTTAACCCCAGTATTTCCACAGCTCCTTAGAATAGATAGACCAGTTAAATAAATGTATCTTCTAAAGTTTTAAATAAGTTAGTGATACTGGTCACAGTTCATCAAACTTCTTGGTTGGTTAATGAGCCCTAAGAAAAATAACAGAAAATAACGATTTTTTTTTGTTTGTTTAATTTGATGTAAAAGTACTTTTAAATCTAAATTGATACTGTGAATCAATAAGTTGTTATTAATAAATACTGAATGTTATTACAATTTTAAACAGTTTCTGGGCTTCCCCGCTGTCCACAAATTTGACTAATGGCATGTTTATAGGTTTATATGTGCAATCTTAAACTACATTAATAATAGACCCTTTGAATATTTTGTTTCAAAAATTCTCTGTGTATTAGGGCTGCACGATTAATTGAATGCGATTGTCATGCGCATTTTGATAGTAATGCCGGTTCTGTAATCAGCAGTTCAGCGCGAGAGCGCCCTCTGGCCTTTGGATGAAGATTTACTGCTGATCACAGAACCCTGCTTCACTGAAAGATACGCATGACAATCGCAGCTTCTGTCGAATCGCGATCTCGATTCCATTTCGATTTATCGTGCAGCCCTACTGTGTATTATGACATGTTTCACATGCTTGCTTGCAAACTTAAATTAAACTGTTGTAGTAATTAGAATTTACACCAGCCATGTAAAAAAAAAATCACATGAAATCAAGACAATCTGCACTTTCATATACAGTTGACAACTATGTGTAAAGTATATCAACAACTAATTTTTTACCTTTGACTCAAAATAAAATTTTGATCACAACCAGTGGGATTAAATTAGTTAATCGCAAATTGTACTGATTGTTGTGGAATTTTTTGAATCACAACATATTTGTCAAATCTTTAAAAAAAGGATATAGCCTATTTGATAGATATTGACATATTTAGACATTGTTACATTTCAACAGGCTACCAGTGTAAAGACTGAGTTAGAATTTCTCATAGTGAGATACTAGGCATTTTTCCCACAGTAAACATTTAATTTATTAAACAATATTAGAGCTGTTGTTAGGTGACCCAAATACATTTGTGACATGGCATCATTACATCACATCCATTTATCATCTAAAATAAAAAAATGTCCTAACATTTGGCAGTTCAATAATGAGTCCAGACAAGACACAAATATGTTAAAAAATTGCAGTTGGAATTTCTTCTTCTGGTTCATTCTTTACATTGGAGTGCTTTATTCTGCACTGTAAACAGTGTACTGCTCATTTTGGAAAATGTAGGAAATCATCCATGTATTTTATGTATACAGAACATTGGCATAATATACACAGTATACAAGCTATAAACTGCAGCAGTAATATATGGAAGTCTGCAGAATGCTCCACAAATTTTCACAGAATTTGTAGAATATTCAGAAAATTGATGTATAAATCCATATGGACTCATAACAATTGAATTTTTCACAGAAATGCTTTTATGACTAAGAGCTTTTTATACTTATCCTGTAGTATACAACTTAAAGGGGTCATATGATGCGATTTCAAGTTTTCCTTTCTCTTTGGAGTGTTACAAGCTGATTGTGCATAGATAAGATCCCTGAAGTTGCAAAGACTAAAGTCTCAAATCAAAAGAGATATTCTTTATCAAAGTTAAGACTCTGCCACGCCCCCCTAAAACGGCTCATTCTAACACGCCCCCACATATCTACCCCACTATGTGGAAATATTTGCATAATCCCGCCGCAAATGTGCACGCAAAGAAAGAAGGCGCGGTTTCAGTAACCGCAGTTAGTGTTGAAGCAGCATGTCAGGGAGACGCTGTGTGTTTCTAGGCGAAAGCAAAAGCACTTTATTTGGCCTTCCGGAAGTAGATGCATTTAGGAATCTTTAAGATTACTTACAACAGAACAGCAATGCATTTTATGGACGACCGTTTCGTGAACCTAGGAGAGGAGGTAATTCTGACTTTGCTATGACAATCTGGCGCTTCTGAATCAGCTACTGTTTTGTTATTAGTTTAAGTATTTGCTATTGACTGTTCAAATGCGGAGTTTTGCGCATCGTGTGTGTGTGTGTGTGTGTGTGTGGGGAACAGGGTCACATCACAGGAGAGTGAACTGTCTGTCAGAAATCATAGCACGTCAGCTGTCTTAACCGCGGCTTGTGTACTGCATCATTACTGTGTCTGTCACGCGACTCTGTTCCCCTTTCGTGCTCTGTCTTTACATTTATTTTGAAAGATGAAGCTCGCGTTTATGGTAAGGGGCGTTACATTTCCGACGCGTGCTTGTGGTGTTTGGCCAATCACAATGCACTGGGTCAGTTGGCCAATCAGAGCAGACTGCGCTTGTCAAAGGAGGGGGCTTTGTAGAAAACGAAGCGTTTGAGAGAGGCAGGGCATAGAGGACCTACAATAATGTACAGTATTTGAAAAATAATGTGTTTTTTGAACATTAAAGCATGTCAGCATATTCTGTTACACCAAATACACCAAATAATGATCTTTAAAAAAGCATCATATGACCCCTTTAAAGGCTGCTTATAGGCTATAGTTGTTTAGGATGTAAGGAATTGAGGTAAATGGCGTTGAAATATTTCTGTCCTTCTTTCTTGATGGAAATGCCAAGACAACAAGCGTTAAAGGCAAAAAGATGTAGCTTGTCATTTTTAAAGGGGT